TTTGGCTAGGATTTTTTGTCTGTACCTGTGTGCATTTTGTAGTTGCCAGCTCTCTGCTCCATGTCTCATATACATTAAGCCAAAGAAAACAGCTTTCTCATGCCCTGTGGTTCCTAGCAGGTCTTCCTTCTTCCCTTTTCAGGATATTTTAAAATTTCTTCTACATGTAGGACTAGCAGATGGAGTAATGGCTACGTCACTGGACTCCCATGTAGTTGACTACAGTTCAAGTCCCAGACCAGGCGGCTTCGAACTCACGCCAGACATGTATGCTTGCTTGCCCAAAGTCCCGAGAGAATAATGGAGATGGGATTGCAGCATGGCCATCCCCCCCGGGGTGGTGTGGGTGTGTGTGATTTCTTGCTTTCTGTCTCTCTGGGGAGTGCACACTCCCTATAACAAAAAAATCTCCCTAGAGAAAAAAAAAGTGTTTCTTCTGGTATTGTCAGATTTACTTAGCAAAAGAAACAGGGGAAAATATGTCTACTCCATCCTCCTGAAAGCAAAAATCTCTCCAAATTGGAATTTTTGGAAACTGGCTTTGTTATTTTTCCATGTTGATTTGATAATGTAATACTGATTTTCATAAACCATTTTTACCAATTTTACTTAGGTTGCTGTTGCAGGTAAAAATATTATGGTTGGTTGCTCGTTATTAGTTTATAGTTCTTTTTGAACTTTCTTCCTAGCCTCCCTGATTTAGTTACGTTACCACTCCACTTATTCTTTTTCCCCATTACCTAAGTGTTTTTGATTCTTCAAAGGCCTAGATGGGTCTGGAATATGCTTGAACCCAAAAGGTTCTCATTTCCTACTGTTCAAACTATAGTGAGTAAAATAAGTTACCAACTGGGGCTAGGAAACATCATTCTTTAGAGATCCTTAAGAGCGGGTTAGAATTTCAACAGCCTGGTAGATTGATAGGCGTTTGGCCTTGCCTGAAGGAAAGAGAAACTGGGACTAACTTTTCTCTTGAGGGACCTGACACATCTACCTTTTTTAAGATTGTCTAGCAGCTAACTTAAAAATAAGTTTCTAAACATGCTTATTTGTTTTTGGCTTGGTTGTGGTGTCAGCTGTGATTTCTTTTTTTTTTTTTTTTTTTGGACTATTTTTAGAATTATTTATTTTAATTTTATTTATTCATTCATTTATTTTCATTTAATCATCAAGAGACAGAGGAGGGTAAGTGAGAAAGCAAGCCACCAGATCCAGGACTCAAGCTGTGGTCAGCCATGTGGGAGTGTCCAGCACCTTAACCACCATGCCACCTTCTGGCCCCTCAGCTGTGATTTCTATCAGCTGTAACTACAGACAAAATCTACAAATCATATTTATAACTGTTGACTGTATGTGCCACACTCTCTGGCTCTCCAGCAGTTATACATGTGTGATTTTTGCAGGAATGGCTTCCTAACGGAAATGTGGACACAAGAATTTATTTTTCCCTAATGTAACCCTTCTCAGTTTTCCTTCTGTTCCTTCCTAAGATGGCTTGTTTTTCAAGACAGGAGCATAACACCTTTTCTAGGATATGTCAGTTTCTAAAACGTTTGTAAAATTTGCTTGAGATTAGATTTCACCATCATTATTGAGGAGGCACCAAGACTCACGTACCTTTGGTGAATTTATGTTTACATAACACCTTTCATATTGTAGGTCTCAGCTTCAGCCTGTGTGTGTGTGTGTGTGTGTGTGTGAAAAAAGTCCATTAAGTCCAACATACCCCCAGCACTGGATAAATAAACGGGGGAGGTGGTATCGTTACTAACAGTTAGGTGATGAGAAGGAATTTACCTTGATTTCGGACACATTTCTCCTTCCTTTTTTTAAGTGAATTTTCTTTTTTTTAATTGTAGTAAAAGTCACATAGCATTAAATGTACTCTTTTTTTTTTTTTTTTCAACTTGCCAGAGGGCCCATATATTTGCTGGAGAGAGACAGAAAGAGAGGGGGAAGAGTGAGAAAGCACCCTCCACTTCATGGGGAATGATCATAGTGCAATTCCCTTCTCTATTTCTCCTTTCTTTTGGGATTCTGGGCAGGCACACACATGTGCCCAGTGTGTTTTGGAAGTCACTGGGTCTAGTACAAAAAAATTCAAACCAGAGTCAGTCAGTGGGGTTCAGCTCCTTTAACCACCACACCCTATGCTGGCTCATAAAATGTACCATTTTTTAAGAGTATACTTCAGTGGCATTTAGTATATTCACAATGTTGTATAAGCATCATAACTATCTAGTTCCAGAACGTTTTCATCTCCCCAATGGGAACGGCATATGCTTTTATTTCATTGCCAGAGGGTACATGTACTTCTCAGAGAGAGGAACGTCATCCCCACCCTCCCACCCCCAATGCTACAATCCTTTTTCCTCAATTTCTCTACCTCATTGGGATTTTGTGGACACACTCACAAGCCTCCTGTATTTATTAATCCACCAGACTGGAATTTAAACTGAGGTCGGCTATGGGGAGTCTGAGTTTATATATAAATCTATATAGCATTTAACTGCTGCACTATGGGGCAGAGCCCTCGCCCTGCCCCTGTCTGCTGTAAGCAGTCACTGCTTTCTCCCTCTCGCCTCCCTCAAATTTCCAGGTCCTGACAACCAATAATCTGCTTTCTGTCTTTACATATTTGCCTATTCTCGACATTTCATATAATGATAGAAAACACGACCTTTTGGAGACCAGCGGGTGGTGTGGTGGTTAAGGCATTGGATACTCAGATGGTGTAGCAGTTACATCACTGGACTCCCACATGGATGACCATGGTTTGAATCCTGGACCTGGTAGCTTGCTTTCTCACTTTCTCTCTCTCTCTCTTTCTATGTGTCTCTCTCTGGTCAAATTAAAATAAATGAATGAATAAATAAAATTAAATAAATAATTATTTTTTTAAAAAAAGAAAACATGGCCTTTTGGGTTGGACTAATTTCACTTAACATTAGTAATTTTTTTAAAGAATTATTTTAGTTAACTTTATTTTAATTTGGCAGTAATACATGTGTGATTTTTTTTTTTTTTTTTTTTTTTTTTTTTAACCAGAGAGGGATAGAGAGAGGATGGAAAAGTGAGAAGCAAGCTCCAGGTCTGGGACTCAAACCATGGTTGGCCATGTGGGAGTCAGTGCCCTTAGCCATCATGCCACCTGCTGGTCCAAGCATTAGTAATGTTTTTATGGACCAGCCAATGGTGTGGTGGTTAAGGTAGCTATATCCCACATGGCCAATACATGGTTCAAGTCCCAGATCTGATAGCTTGAAAAATACACCAGGCATGTGTATGTGCCCAAACTCTTGAGAGGAGAATGAAGAGAGGGGATTGCCACATGGCCACCCCCGTGGGGGTGCTTTCTTACTTTCTCTCTTTTTCTGTCTCTCTTCAATGAATACATGTGCCATACAGCAAAATTTATTTTTTAAGTTTTCAAAGTGTATCCATGTCGTAACATGTATCAGTACTGAATTGCTTTTTTTTTTTTTGGAGAGATTTTTGCTACAGGGCGTGTGCGCTTGCCAGAAAGACAGAGAGAGACATAGAGACAGAAAGTGAGAAATCACCCTCCAGGGGGGATGGTCACGCCGCAATCCCTACTCCTCCATTCTCCTCTCGGGATCCTGGGCATCCACGCACACGCGCCCGGCATGAGTTTTAAGCCACCGGGTCCGGGATGCGAACCGTGGTCGACTACGTGGGAGTCCAGCGACATAGCCATTACGCTAACTGCTGGTTCCCCGTACTGAATTGCTTTTATAAATGAATAATATGTCATTGTGTGAGTGGGACTTCAAAAAGTCCACGGAAAATGCACATTATGAAAAGCTATGCTTGGATTTCAAAAATGTTTTGTGCCAGTATAAACACTTCAATTACATTTTCCATGAACTTTTAGAAGTCCCCTGGTATATCTTCATCTTCCTATACGTGAGACTGGGGGCAGATTAGTCCACGCAGGCTGCCATAACACAGTATCACAGTCTGGGATGCTGAAATAACAGAAGTTTACTTTCTCACAGCTTTGGAGGCTGCATGTTAACGGTTCAGGAATTGGTAATGCTACTTTCTGCTGGTAAATGGCCTCCTTTCCTGATGTCTTTACACATGGCTACGTGTGTGCGTATCTGTCCTCATCTGCTTTCCTTTTAACAACAGTCATCTTGGATTAGGGCCCTACCCTCATGGCTTGGCTGCATCTTTAAAGACCCTGTCTCCAAACACAGTCCCATTCTGAGGCCCTGGAAGTTAGGACTGCAACATGAACTGGTGGTGGTGAGGACATAGTTCTGCCTGATAGAGGGCATTGGCAAACTCCCATCCACCAGACGCCTTTTTGGGGGCAAGCAAAGACATATCCCAATTGTGAGAACTCAAAGCTCTTTGGCCTGCCTCATTTTTTTTTTTTTTTAATAATTTTTAAGCATTCCCTTTGGTTTATAGAAAGAGATAAGAGCAGCTCTCCAGGACAGCTCTGGACTCCTTCACATCACAGCAGCAGTAGGAGGAATCCTTGCGGGAAAGTCAGGGAGAGTGTGCCTCATCCTTGTGTAGCAGAAGAAAACTCACCCTGCTCATCATTGTTGTTCAAAAGAAGCATCAGGTCCTGCAGAAAGCAGCACCTCTCCTCTGCAAGACTCACACATGGGGCCCTGGTCCCTGTGCAGCGTGGCCTTGTGGGTTTCGGGGAAGGGGAAGTTAGGCAAGCAGGTCATTCCTTGCAGAAGCTCCCTGGGAAGCCCGGGGTTCCCACTTCAGTAAGGAGGCATTGGGGACAGAAGGGACCGAACACAGGGCCTCCTTTACAGTAAAAGGGAGAGCCTGCTCTCAGGTGCTAAGGTAACATCTTCTGTAAATAACAGTGGCTCGTGAAGCCGGATGTTTTCTTGGATGTGGGGACCTACGCCCTCCTTGTCTGTCTGATTTTCCAACCTGAAGTCTCCCTATGGCCCTCTGAGAGGTGCTGAGGTGGCCTGGACTGAGCCTGTTTGCTTTACTTGCAGGATGAACGAGCGGGACCGGCTGATAAAGAGGCTGAGCAGAAAGACGCCTCCAACCCTCTTCCGAGGCAGCTCCATCCAGCAGTCTGTCCCCCGTAAGTCTAGCAGTCAGCGCTCGCTCGGGCACTGGGCTGTGGAAAAGGGTCCCTAAGGCAGACAGCTTAATAAAGGGGAGGCCGCTGTCCAAGCAAGACATTCCGGGTACTGGGATTCCTAGGAGTGGCCTGAGGCAAGGACAGCCTGAAAGCAGGTCAAATGCCTGAACGCCAAAATCCTTACACGTGAAATCCTGATGTGGTTAAGATCTTCCTGTCAGCCTCCCCAGAGGGGTTTTTAAAGGTTGAAATGATATTACTTTTAAATTGTTGTCCTCCAAAATAGCAATATGAACTGTTTTTGTTGCATATTAGCCGATCAATTAAAGCAATAGTAATCACTAGGAAAAGATCTGTACATTTCCCCAGGGAAGGCTGCCCTCTACACGTCTAGGGTTGACTGTTCCCCACCCCTAGTCCTAGAGAAGTGGAGGATGAGAGGCCTTGGAAGCTCCCCCACTTGGAGCTCACTGGGAGTAGGGGCTTGTTTTTCACAGTCTAACCATTCAGCTCCTAGCTGAGGGCCTCTGGGCTGCTTCCCCAGGCCAGGTGAACCGGCCTGTGCTGTTTTGGGTCCTGCCTCTCTGAGCCTCCCTCCCGCTGGTCCGTGTGCATGCGCCTTCTCTGCCCGCCATGCCCCAGACCTGTTTTCCTTTCCCTCCCTGAGAAATGCAGAAGGAAAGAGCTGGGGGAACAAGCGCAGTCCATAAAGAGTCATTGTATACGCAGTTCAGGTACTGAAGGGGCCATGGAGTACGTACAGTCCCGCCTGTCAGCAGGTTTTTGCAGACTTTCTGAATGGAGACAAGAGAAGGGTGGAGTATCAGCACCTTTCAGTAATCCCCCTCCTTCTCTCCACTTTGCCAAGAGGAATATCAAATGTTCCACCACCCCAGGAGATGGGTGGTGCCTGCCCCAAGAGACAAAGCAGAGGCTCAGGTCAAGGAGTGGCCCCCCAATCGCCCAGCAAATTTCCAGGGGTTTCCGGGGGATAACTATAGTCTCAAGCCCAAGAGCTAGGGCAGGTCAGGGGATTCGATGGGATAGTTCAAGGAATGTAGTCTGTAGGACATTCCTCTGGGACTGGGCTGCCTGGGTTCTTGTCCCTACTTTGGACACTCTTTTTGTGACTGTGGACAAGTTATTTGACCTGTTTCTCCCCGTTATCAAATGGGAAGACTAAGAACCTACCTGGTGTTTTGGGAAAATTAAATGAGATTGTATATGTAAGAAATTGCCTAGAGCAGTACCAGACAATATAAAGAGTTCAGTAAACTATTACTATTACTATTTTCTTAGAATTATTATTTTTTTATTTGACTTTATTTATTTGTTTGTTTGTTTTTGAGCAGAGAAGGATAGAGAGAGAAAGAGAGGGAGAGGGAATGTGAGAAAACAAGCTGCCAGGTCCAGGACTCAAACCGCAGTTAGCCGTGTGGGACTCCAACACCCTTAACCACCATGCCACCTACTGGCCCAAGATATTACTATTTTGATGATGATGATGATGTCACTAGCAGAATACCTGTGGGCAGCTTACATATTTCTCTAAATTTCTGTTTTCTCCTCTGGAAAAATATGGAACTATAATAATAGACATCTTGCACAGGTCTCGTGGGCTTGAAGACGATGTAGATAAACACCTCATGTGTGCCAAGCACGGAGAAAACATGTGCAGGTTCCCTAAATGACAGCGTGTATGCTGACGAGCACCCCCCACCCCAAGTTTCTCTAATAAATGTTTCAGAGTGGCCACAAAGAAGATGCTAGGTATACGTAGGCGGGATCTTCAAAAAGTTGGTCATGTGTATTATGAAAAAACTATGCATGGATTTTGAAACGTTTTTGCACCAAAATAAGCTCATACTTCAATCTCATTTTCCCATGAACTTTTTAAAGTTCCCTTGTGCTGTGATCAAAGGCCAAGTGAGAACTTTCATGGGCGAGTCATAAATGTCTTAAAACAACTACCAAAGGCTTTACTTATGTCAATATTTGGAAGAACAACAACAACAAAAAAGCTACTGCACAAATATAAGAAGTCAGAAAGTTTCTAAATCACATCACACTTTAAAAACACTTAGCAGCTAGTGGGTCCAGCATGGAGCATAGTGGTTGGGGCACTGGACTCCCACATGGCCGACCCAGGTTCGAGTCTGGACCTGGTGACTTGCTTTCTCACTATCTCTCTCTCTCTCTTTCACTCTCCCTCTCTCTCACTCTCACTCTCTTACTCTCACTCTCACTCTCCTTCTGGTGAGCACATGTGCCCTGTAACAAATTAAAGAATAATAATAATGATACATACATTAAATCTTTTTAAAAAACACTCAGCAGCTGGTACTAGAACATGATAGGTAACTTAGGATGTTTCTGCCATAAACTACCAGAGAAGGCCAACCAGTGATGAGGTCTGCATGGCTGGTCTCAGCCTTTGCATGGCCCTCTTGGGCCTGTCTGACTGCTGTCTTGGGCCTGTGTCTCCTCAGGAAACTGGAAAGAAAAAACTCTAATGTTAGTGGCGTACTTTTAGCCGCTGCACATTGTGTTTGCAACTGAAATCAGCATTTCCTATGCAGCCTAATTTCCTCGTGGCCCGGTGGTCCTCCCCATTTCTACGGCTATAGGGAATCGTTTTCCAGACAGGAAACTGCTACTTTCATTAAGATGCTATCAGAACTTGGAGTCAAAGGAATGCTACTTAAGGGGAATTCTATTCCAAAATAATAACAATGAAAAGAAAAGACATGATTTGTAGGGACTTCACCAAATGTTCTGCCCAGAGAAGATAAAACAGCCAAGAAATTCACCTGCTCTCCCATTTCCTTTCACGTGTCCAACTCTGTCATCGGCCATGGTTGTGGCTGAGTATTTAGAAAGCAAGTGTGTTAGGTGGCCAGTCAAGAAAAGCCTTTTCCAGGCCCAAACCTGAACTTTCTGGCTTTCAGAACCTTCTGAAAGTGGGTACTGCAAAGAGAGGGAGATTTCTTCTGAGCTTCCTGTTTAGATGCAAAAGGAATTAAATGGCCACTGAGCCGACCAGCGAGCCGCCCCTGAGCTGGCAGATGGAGGCTGGCTGAGTGGGTCTGGTGCCTGCTATTCCACCACAACTTTTTCCATTAGGGCACTCACTCCTACCAGGACTAATTTCTAAGAGGAAAAATACTCTATCTGAACCAGGAAGGACACTATTCCCCTCAGGCCATCTTCCTTTCCTTCTTAAACGTTAGAGTCCACCTTAATCTCAGTTAAGGTTAAGAAAGTCTGAATGGACCACATTCTGGAAATATGTGAGTAGGTGTAGCCAATGGCAACTGAGGTGAGGGCGAGGAGACTAGCCGGCAGGGACCTCTGGGTGCTCTGCGTACCTGAGAAAAAGGGTTAGCAATGGGACAGGAAAGAGCTCCTCTCTGCCGTTTCATTCGAGGTAAGCCTAGAAACTCTTGCCACTCCAGAGTGGCTGAGTCATCCTGCTGCGAGCCCATGGGAGACCCTTGTAGCAGTGATACTAATGCAAATCGAGGAAGTGACACAGCTATGAGTCGAAGAAGCCCCCAGAGTTGGTTCCCAGTAGGCCCAGGCATGTGAATGAAAAGCAGGGTAAATGCTCTTTTCCTCCCTGGCTGCCTGAGGATATACCGCCATCATGAATGACACAGTAACTGTCCGAACCAGGAAATTCATGACCAACCGACGACTTCAGAGGAAACAAATGGTCGATGTCCTTCACCCCGGGAAAGCAACAGTACCTAAGACCGAAATTCGGGAAAAACTAGCAAAGATGTACCAGACCACACCAGATGTCATCTTTGTGTTTGGGTTCAGAACCCATTTTGGTGGTGGCAAGACAACCGGCTTTGGCATGATTTACGATTCTTTGGATTATGCGAAGAAAAATGAACCCACACATAGACTTGCAAGACATGGCCGTTATGAGAAGAAAAAGACGTCAAGAAAACAGCGAAAGGAACGCAAGAACAGAATGAAGAAAGTCAGGGGGACTGCAAAGGCCAACGTTGGTGCTGGCAAAAAGCGAGCAGGAGACTGGAGAACAGTCGAAGGAGTAAAGATTCTGCAATGACTCTCTGCGGTGATTGTGCGGATTTTTCATGAGAGGATTAATACACTAAAATATTTTTATGTGAAAAAAAAACAGGGTAAATAAAAAACAAAGCTTTCTCCCTTCAGTTTAAATAGGGAGTAGATAATCCCCAAAGCCAAAATACCTTTCCCCAAAGCACACTCCCAAACAGCATTTATTTTTGCATCTCAGCAAGTCCCCTTCCTTCCCTCCATCTACTCCCCCTCAACAAAGGTAGGTAGTACTTGTTCTCTCTGTGCTGTCAAGGCACCTTCCTCTCTGGCAGGGATGTAGTAGTCTCCCCTGGGTACAGTGTGCATCCACACTGAAATGAAGGAGAGGATTCTGCAGCCTTGATAAGGTCAGATAAGCCCGTCTGCAGGACTGGAACTGTGAGAGCACTAAGTGAGGCCTCCCCTGGCCCCCGCCATCATTATACAGAAAAGTAAACCAAGACTCAGGGAACTTTAAGAGCAGAGCCCTAGGCACAAGGCCAAGGAACTGCCAACCAAGAACTAGAACCATCCTTTCTTCCCCCCAGTGCTTCAGCCTTGGGCCGCCAGGGTCTAAGATGAAACCTGAGTAGGGAAGCCACCTGCAGAGTGAGGAGCTCAGTGGTCCCCTACCTGCCACCCTGAGTGTCTGTGAGGCACTTAGGATGCCTCGTGAATACCTTCCAGATCAGAGCCACTTCAGTGGGGCTGAGAAGCACCCGCAGTCCTGCAGCACAGCTGACCCAAGACTACCACCTCAGGTAGTTACGGAAAACACGCCTTTTTTTTTTTTTTTTTTTTTTTGGAGAGGTTTTTGCTTTAGGGCATGTGTGCTCACCAGAGAGACAGAGACAGAAAGCAAGAAGTCACCCCCCCAGGGGAGGTGGCCACACCGCAATCACTTCTCCATGATCCTCTCAGGATTTTGGTTGGGCACACACACACACATGCCCAGCATGAGTTTAAGCCACTGGGTCCGGGATTCAAACCACGGTCAACTACATGGGAGTCCAGCGACATAGCCATAATATCTGCTAGTCCCGGAAATACTCCTTTTAAAAGATCAGTGAGTGAAAACTAGCCATGTTGACCACAGTGCACAGCCTGTTACCAGAGAAGATAGTGTTATTTGCTGGATTTTCTATGAAACATCCCAAGAAAAGACGTTGTCGCCTCTACACTGCAGTAAAAAATGCTTCATAAGAAGCAGGAGGCTGGAGCAATCTCTCCAAAGCTCATAACGAGGTTACCTTGTCCCTGTTGATCCCTGATCAAGCCACGGGAAGAAAACCCTAACCTTCTTAGGGAACAGAGGTGAGAGGCAGCTCTTGCTCTTAAGTGCTCAGAATCAGGTCACATGAAGACTTCAGAGCCCGACAATCCAAGCACAGCCACTGTTGTGAAAGCCATCTTGATGGGGAGTTCACGTGTACCCAGTGTGGGCCCAGGGCCAAAACAAGAGAGCAAACACGTCTGGTTGTGGGAGCCCTCCCCCGGGTTGGCTGCAACCTTGTGACTCAAGGACCTGCCCGCTCCTATCCCCAGTTATCCAGGGGCTCACCCTGGTCTGGGAGCTGCTTCACCATGCCGACCACATGCTAGGATTTCTTGGTTTGTGAGTTTGTTGAGTTATAAGTGGCGTTGAGCAAGACCAAAGGGCCCTTTGGAAGATTCCGCTCTGTTCTCGTTCTCCCTGGTTTGGCTTCGTCTGCCTTCATTCTGGCCCACTCTTGTTCTCTCCCGTGGTGTCGCTGACCTAGGTTGTCTTCCCTGCTGCTCAGCCCCTGTGTCCTCAGTCGACTCCGAGACCACCCCTGCAGACAGCCGCTGGCCTCCCAGGATAGCCACCTGAGCCTTGGATTTCCCAGACCGTGGCTGGTAGGCAGGCTGTCGGGAAGGGCTGGGCAGTCAGCCCAGGGCTAGGAGCTCTCAGTTTATGAGCATGCACAGAGTGAGAAAACAGTCCAGCATCTTCTTTTGCAGATCTTCCTCTCCTCCGTCCCCAGGAAGACTCCAATATATATTACAATTATATATGCTCATAACTCTTCTTTCTAATTAAGCAACATGTCTAGGGAAATTATACACAATCGGGAGCTGTTACATGGACACAGTTTTTTCATTTCTCGATCACCTGTTTAAAGAGTATGGCGATGAACTAACAAGTCCATTGATAAATTCTAAATATGCATTTTGGGGGTCACACTTGTCTGGCTTTTTACTGTGAGGTCTTTTGGCCATAATGTCTAATCGAGCTGTGGAACTTTTCTGTACCCTTGACACAGGAGGGTTAGTCAACAAAAAAGGGAGTCTTATAAATGTCTTTTCTGTGAAAAGGGCCAATGGGAAGCAAAACCCCACTTTGAGCTTATGCACACCAGCCCTCTTTCAGAAGAGATGCAATAGCGTGGGGCCTGCAGTCACCCCGTCTGGGTTTACTGCCACACACAAGGTCTATGACCCTGGGTAAGTCACAGAAATCTCTGCGCCTCCGTTTTCTCATCTGTAAAGTGGCTAGAATATTATCACAATCCCATTGGGCTGCTAAGAGAACAAATTGAGCTGTATGTAAACACGTAGCACAGTCGTCATACACCCAGCATTTAATACGTGTTGGCTGTTCTTTATCTTATTAATATGACTTGATTGCAAGAATCAGTCTTCCTGTGGCCAAGAATCCAAACACTAAATTCCTCTCCATTTTATCTGTGATCTTTTTCTGTATTTACATGAAAATAAACCCACTTCAGTTACTTATTACAAGGTCAAATCAGCTCAGTTTAAAAACAGGACTGCCTCAAGCATCATGGAACATTTTGCCAGCTTCCACTATTAGCCTCGTGTGTATTTTCCCTGGCATGTTTACACTTCATAAATTAGCCAGCCAGCCGGCCTGCAGCATCAAGCTGATTGGGACATTTCCTCTTGATTGGCCATGGGAAAGCACTTCCCACACCCAGCCCAGCTGTAGCCCCCAGGACGTGAGGGGACTTTGTAAAATAATGGAATTAAAGCCTGAGTTTATTTTGATGCAAAACGTTTTCAAATCCATGCATTATTTTTCTACAATAACTATTTTCTATGAACAGTTTGAAGATCTCATGTAGTAGACCTGCTCCTCTGTCCCTCAGAGCTTTCCCACCCAGCACCAGCAGCCAGAACCATCTGGTCCTGGAGGGGTCTCCCTCTGCCCCACACCCTCACGCTTCACCTTTCAGGGAAAAACGTCACAGATTTCTTCCTCAGCCTCCAGGGACTTCAGCCAGGGAGGCAGTGCATGGCCCACGGTACAGCTGCTCTCTCCCAGAAAAGCAAAAAATCTTATTCTGAGCCTTGTGTGCTCCCGTCTCCCACTGCCCAAATTCTCCCCTGTGCTTCTCTTTCAGATGGGTATGCCTTTTCTCAGGAAGAGCATGGAGCTGTGACTCAGGAAGAAATCGTCCGTGCTTACGACACCACCAAAAAGAAATCAAGGAAGAAGTAGGATTCGCGTTTTCTCTGCTGGATCCTAAGAAAGAGATTTGGTTTGTCACACCCAGTGTTAACACATCTTTGTCAGAAGAGACTGGCATCAGCAGCCAAAACACCGGAAAACACATCTTTGTGGCCTTAGCCAACCAGTTTGTTAGTTATATATCCCCTCGCCAGCCCCAAGTGTAGACCGCAGGGGAAGCCATTTTCTCCCTCCCAGTTTGTCTGCAGTGCTTGGCCTAACTTTTGTTTACGTTGTTATGAAGCATTCAACTGTGCTCTGTGAGGTGTGAAATTAAAAACATTATGTTTCACCAATATTTAAACATCAGTACAAGTTGTTCTGGGAGAAAGGGAAAGGAGTTTCATGTTGTGTGAGAGACCCATCTTGTGTAATTGGAGTGGGTGTACTTACTTCCTGTTTGGTTAACTCACAGATGAAGTCCAAAGAGCAGCATGCAAATTTCACTTTAGGCAGGTTGCTATCTTGCTTTAATTCCTGTTTTGTATGAAATTGGCATAAACTTCTTGATTGCAGTGAAATCACAAAAATCTCTTAACTGGATGGTAAACCTGAGAATGTGTATTTGCACCTCATAGCAACATTCTCAGCAGAGCGAATCAGTCAATGAGCTGACAGGGTCTTCTGCACCCTTTCCAGGTGCCATCCAGCCAGGCCCTCCCATCGCTGTCCAGATGTCCTTCGTCTTCAGACCTTCCGCATGGCTGTGCTCAGTGCATGGCGGCTGGTGGGCAACCAACCCAGATCTGCACTTCTCCTTGCTCCACTGCAGATTCAGATATGGATGCAAGAAATATCTTTTACAGTCCTTTTCATTCAGTAACTAAAGAAACATAGCTATCCTGCATATATTCTAAATGTTTATCTGCCTCTTTCTGACAATGGAACCCCTGTGGTTCTGGATGTCACTCCCTGCCCTGGTCAGCTCCAAGTACTATTTCTCAGCCTCCAGACCACTGAGCCTTTGGTATCTGCTTCAGTTAGAACCGATGTTTGTTTTCTTGAAGGCTCAGGGCACTTTCTGGATTTTCACTGTCAGGAAAAGAATGAATTTATAACATATCTATGCAGTGAGGAAGCACGTCTTGTACTCTAGTTCTAGAACCAGAGCATGGGTAAGCCCAGAAGGGAGACTGTAGGGAGATAACAGACAGTGAGGGTGGTGAAGAAGATGACCGCAGAAGTCCTCAGAAGAAAGGAGGAGAAATTGGGAGAAGGACACAGAAGATGTTTTCTTCCAGATCTCCTAGTAGAAAGTCTGAAATCAAGCCCTGAGGCCCAGACAGTTGTTATTATCTGCTTCAAGTGTACGGGAGCCTAAATAAGACCTCGACACGCAGTTTTAATTGAATCCGAAACCTTTCCATGAAATTCTCCTTTTTAATAGTAGTGGGTTTCCTTTCTCTATCCTATCAGTGTTCGATGCAGGTACCTTTTAGAATAAGGAGTATCTTGAATTCTTAGACCAGGCAGGGAAGTGCTGAGTCACTGAATTTCCCAAGGACAGACTTCCACATTCTAAATTCAGACAGAACCTGGATGCCCTCAGGCATGAAAGTGAGCACCTGCAGCCCTTAAGAAGTGACTGGCCTGGAGGCACATTCTCTCCTCTTGGCTTTGGGTGCCAACCCAGATTTTTGGATGGTTTAAAGTTAATAGTTCTGGGCAGCTGTTACTGGTTAAAATGGCACAGTTCCTCTGGGGATGGTGGTGGTAAATTCGGAAATAAAACAATAGTGCACTTTGCTTCCTAACCTTTTATTTTCAAAACATCCACAACTTAATGAGTATTGAAATAATTTAGGATACGATGATTTGCATTGACTTGTAAAAGTAATGCTTATGTTATGAGGTGACCAGGATGCAGACAAGGCCTGAGAGGGCAGGAGGACAATGCAATTAACAGGTGAGGCTCAGAATTTGCCATTCCTTCCTCCCCGGGGTGTATGCAACATTTTAAATACTAGAGCACTCAGCGAGAAGTCGCTGAAAGACCGCCCTGCAGGAATCACAACACAAAACGTGCCTATGAGTAACACAGCACACCAAGTCGCATGTCATTCTTTATTACACAAGCCAGAAAGATGATGCCAGGATTCAGAAGTAAAATGAACACTAGAACTGAATGTACATTAGGCATCTTGACTATTAGGTTTCATTTGGGAATAAGACCTATTTGGAGAGAATGAAAACTCAATTGTTTTTCAAACACTTCACTCCTTCTTGAACTTCAAGCCTTCCAGATCAGATTTATGAATTAAAATGTATGTTTGTGTGGGGATTTTGGTTTGTTTCGTTTTTTTTTGTTTGTTTGTTTCCCAATGTTCAAGTACAGTTCACATTTTCTGGGATTTAAGTATATTTTACTATTTCATGAAGTGGATTAAACAATCTTTGCAATGATGAAATAAGTACACAGTAGAACACTATTTATTCTGTCATGTGATTAAGCTTTCTTATAGCCAAATGACTAAGTTGTGTTTCTAGGGGGAGCAGCTGTCACTGCGTGAGTTGTAGAATATTTAGCTGAGGTCAGAGTGTCAGACACAAGCTTCTCCCTAGGGAGCAGGGTGGACTGAACTAGGATGCACACTCTGGCTGTCAGCTCAGTGAAAATGCCACATAGGACTTGTCACTTCTGCGGCATCGTAAGTGACTCTCAGGCTGGCAGGTCAAACTCGGTCAGCACTCCAGGGCTGACTCTGGATTGGGCAAAGCTGGCAAGATCCACTCAAGCCAACCCTTGGCCTGGTGCTGTACACGGCCAGCCACTCTTGTTTGATTCTGTGTCCTGTCTGGCTAACTCTACAAAAATTAAAAAACAGCCATTCTTTGAACTCAGTTTTGGATTCTGCCATATACCGGCACATGCCCGTATGGGCAGCTGTGGCAGACACACATTGAAAAGGGAGGTGAAAGAGCAGAATGGCCCACTAACTTCTGCTTGCCAGACTGGATTAGCACTTCGTTGCTGGTCAGAGTGGGCTTCGTAATAATTTAGAATAGCTGATACGTCCGTCCTGTATCTGCAGAATATTCTAGGCTTCTTGACCATTGTGTGTTGTCCATTCTCCCAACACATATGTACACACAGAAACAAAAACAGAGTCATGTTTTAGGTTCTGTATACTATATAAAACCTGCGCTTTAGAGAAAGGGGCTACTGTTTCTTTAACACTTTTAGAGAAATATCCTAAAAAGTAACCAGGGTTTCATCTGAGCTCAGCTGAGAACTCTGTTGACATTTTCTTTTCCTCGACAAGGCTTTAGGTCTTACTACAGAGAGCTGGCAGTGAAAATCAGTAATAACTTGTCAAGAAGCAGTGAATAATGGGGGAAAAAAGTGAGTCTAGGTAGCTAATGTCTGAAAATGCATATGGACAGACTTTAAGGTTGAATTATTTTTAAAAGAATGCTACAGTCTATAATCTCTATTTATTATAGCAATGACTCTATCCTTTTTTTTTTTCAAACCATAAGAAAGGGAATTTTCCATCAGATATTCCTGTTCCTAGGGATTTATGTCTTAAACCATAAGGTGAATTGAATACTTGCAAAATTCGGTTATAGGATAAGGTAGTCTTTAGGTTTGAACATGCGAAAAGGACAGCATTCATTTGAGCCATGGTTTGAATTACTGCCCAGGGTCATTGTCCCAAAGTAATTTAAGGAGTGATTTAGCTTCAGCATTTGAAATGTCGCCGTCATCTCCTGGGGTGCATAAAAAATGTGAACAGGGAAACTATGCTTAAGCAGAGCCTGAAATCATAACTTGGCAAAAAAATGAGTTTATTGAGTCAAGTCAAAAGATGGCATCCCCTATCCTACTCATTAAATACTTTCCTGGTGCAGACACTGAAAGTAGCAAATATAATCCTGATGGGGATAAGTAAAATAAAGTCTCCTCTTTTCAAAAAAAGAAAGTGTACCTCAGATGGCTTTGTTGTCGGTTCTCTATTGGCTCAAGTCAGCTATCAATCTCAGTATAGCCTTGGGGAAGTTACTGAAAGGCATAGCAGCCATTTTTGCATCTTGAAGGGGAAGGGTTTCCAATGGGTCATACAGGTGAGGGCCTGAGACCCACATAATGGCAGTACTAAGTATTATTGAGAAGAATAGACCAGGAATACTTCTACTTCACTTGATGTGTTGTGCCCTGTTTTTTTCCTCAGCATCCCAAATTGTGCAGTGCACATTTCCATTGCCTTCTATGAGCTTCGTTTAAGGCCCCACCTCTCATTAGTGTTCTGATAAAGCTCTCTCTTCCTTTGTGGGGTTTGAGTGCTTTGTGGAGGTGGGGTATAATCTAAGTGGGAAGGAGGGGGGTAAGCCAACATAAATCTAAGTGGTCAAAAGCTACAAACAAATAAGATCAGAAAAGTGGGGCAAGCTGCCTCTAGTTATCCTACCCCAGGTATAATTCATAGCTGTTAACCTCCAGCAAACACCTCTGCTCTTGAGACAGAGAGGAGACAAAAGAGTGGTTCTTTTTACACCCAGGTTGGCTCGTTTTCAAGTGACAATCTCTTGCTCTCCTTGCCTTTGAGATATCTACTCTGCTTTTTCTCCCAGGCATCAGACCAAGAAAAACATGCTCACAAGATTAGCCCATAGGCATGACCCGGCTAAAGAAAGAAAGGAGAGACCTGTTTGTTTTAAAAGTCAGGAACAAAGTGTCAGGTGGCTTTGATTTATGACAGAAATAGGAAGAAGAAAAGTTGAAGTAACAGCACTATCCAAATAACTGTGCCCAGGAAACGGAGGGTCAAGAGGGCTTATCAAGAGCCTTTTACAGGTACAGTCTTCCGGGTGAAAGAGAAAAAGCCGGAAAGGGGAAGAAAGCCTAAAGAGCAGGTGGTGAGCCCACTTCAATGAGATTGGATCTAGTTCCAGTTAGGGTCCTAGAGAGAGCTTGGCATGCAGTTGCAGGTGAATCAATTTGCAGCAATAAGAAAATTGTTTTAAATCCCAGAAAGAAAACCTGCCCCCTCATGAAATTTCTCTCGTTCCAACAAGATCTTTGTAGTAGTAATTTTTTGTTTTAATTAATAAAATCAATGTTAAGTACTGGAATTCCTCCTTTCCTGCTCCCTCTCCATGTGGGAGAGGCCAAATTCAGAGGTATGCCTGATCCTTCTGCCCAGACTCGTTCTCAAGGGCAGTGCAGGCAGGCACAGAGGGCCTGGGTCTCTGAGCCGCCATTTGAATGCAACGTCCTTATGGTGTCTTTCTCACACGGCAAAACCATGTCCTCTCCTGTCCGCTGTCATATCTGTACTCGGATTGCTTAAATATTGTTTGCGATGGGGAGGTTTTATAATCTGGTTATGCAGAGGGAAGCGGGACTGTGGGGGCACGTTTAATTGGCTCCCAGCAGAGCACTGAGCGCTTCTATGGCGGTTGGTGTTTTTTGTTCCCTCCCTCTAGAAGTGTTATCGTTTTCACGTCCTATTAATGTCCTCTGGTTGTTAAATTACAGCAGCACTTGATAGCGGAGCCGGGTTCCCTCCTTGAGTGAATACAAATGAAGGGCATCTACTTGTGTTTCTAGAGGGGTTTGGACAATTTAGTGATTTGTGGCTTTGATCAATCCTGTTGACTGGTATATGTCTACACAAACCTGTTTCAAATAAATCTTTTGTTAAAGTAAATGACTAGACCGCGTTTTATTCTGGCGTTTTCTTTTCCACTAATAATCAGCTCCTGCCACAGAGACTCGGGACTGTGACATGGGGGTTTGTCAGCAGGGTATACATTATCTG